TAGGCACCCCGCTCGAGGGACGCCGGTCCCCTATAGGGACCCCTACAGCGACCCGGAACAGCTTCCCCCTCCCCCCGACAGGGCCTCCCCTATAGGGCCCCTTCCTATAGGCCCCCACTCTGTGGCCACCCCGGAACGGCATCTTTCTGCGGGGTGACCCCTTTTCTATAGGGACTCTCCTATAGGGACCCTGCTCCAGCTTGTCCCCAAAGGGCGTCCGCTTTCAGGCTCCTTTTCTATAGGGGCACCCCTATAGGGACCCCCTCCCTATGGGGAATCTCTCCTGGAGCCTCTTCCCATGGTGCTTTCGCTATAGGGGCCCCAGAGTGGAGCCCCCTTCCCCCATGGGGATCCCCATATAGGGCCCTGTCCCCCTATAGGCCCTTCCTTAAGCTTCTGCTGTAGGGGCTCCCTATAGGGACCCTGCTGTGGGCACCCTGTGCTATAGGCGCTATAGGGTTTCCCGCTGCGGCCCCAAAAGGCCCTGCGGCGCCGCCTCCCCCCCTCAGCAGCCGTGGGGTCGTTTTAACTGAATTTGGCTGTTTTCTCCCCCAAAAAATAGCACGCGGGAACGGTGCTGGCCCCTCGGCTTCGCTTTGTGCCGAAATGACGTCATTGCCTGGATGACACCTAGCTGGTTTCTCCCCAAAAAGCATGCCGCACCCATGTCATCGCCTCAGCGTTGCTTCACGCCAAAAATGATGTCATCGATGGGACGGAACTGAGCTTTTTTACTCAGAAACTGGGCTGCTGCTGCGCCGTCATTTCATGCCAAAACCGTGTCATCGCCTTGACGGATTTAAGCTGTTTTCTCCCCAAAACCTCTTCACACCTGCGTCATCACCTTAGCATCACTTTGCACCAAAGTGACATCACCTTGACAGAACTGAGCTGTTTTCTCCCCTCAAGCCTGCGCCGTCACCTCAGCATCGCTTCACACCAAAATGACGTCATCACCTTGACAGAATTCAGCTGGTTTTGCCCCCAAATCCTCCCGAGCCCGCCTCGCCACCCCTCGACATCACCTTCCTACTAAAACCGCATCATCACCTTGAGGGAACTGGGCCGTTTTCTCCCCAAAACCTCTTCAAAACCACGCTGCCACCGCCGCATCCCTTCGCGCCAAACCCTGCCTTTTTCCCTTGACGCAAATAACCTTTTTTTCTCCCCAAAACAGCTTTGAACCCCCAGCGCCCCCCCCTTGCTGTCACGTTCTTCCTAACCCTACCTCATCGCTTGAACGGATTCAAGCTTTTTTCCCCCCAGAACCTCTTCAAACCCCATCCCACCGCCCCCACCTGATCCCAGCCTGACCCTTTCTCCCCCCACTTGTTTTTTTGAGGGGGTGACGGGGGCGCCACCGCCATGTCGGGTGCCGACCCCTTGGAAACGCTGCAGGTGGAAGCCAGCTGCTCGGTTTGCCTGGAATACCTGCAAGATCCCGTCATCATCGAATGCGGTCACAATTTCTGCCGCCGCTGCATCACCCGTTGGTGGGCCGAGCTCGCGCGCGATTTCCCTTGCCCCGTTTGCCGCAAAACCTCGCGCCGTCGCGCCCTGCGACCCAACCGACAACTGGGCAACATGGTTGAAGCCGCCCGGCAGCTTCGAGGCACCAAACGTAAAGCCGGGGAGGAAAGTCGTTGCCAAGCTCACGGGCAAGCTTTGGCTCGATTCTGTCGCGACGATCAAGCCCCCGTTTGCCTCCTCTGCGAGATCTCCCATGCCCATCGCGCCCACGCCCTCATCCCCCTCGACGACGCGGCCCTCGAGTATAAGGTGAGGGGGGAAAAAGCGTCCCCCAGAATCTTCATTTTAGCCCAAAATTCGTCCCCCGGGCTGTTTGCAGAGGGGTTTTTGCCTGTGATCAGGCTTCAGCTCTGGTTTTAGCCTGGAATTCTTTGCCAAGACCATCTGTGAGGGGGGGTTGGCTATGGTTTGTCCCCGTTTCCAGCCCCTCAGGGTGGGATTCAGCCCCAAACCCTCTCCCCAAGGCTGTTTTTGGAGAGCTTTTGGCCACGGCTCATCCCCGTCTCCATTTTTAGCTCCAAACCCATCTCCCTGAGGCCATTTTTGGAGGGATTTTGGCCCCGGCTTCATCCCCATCCCCTTTTCCAGCCCCAAAGTCCCTCCGTGAGGCCATTTGTGGTGGGAATTTGGGCAAGATCTTGTCTCTATCTCTATTTCCAGCCCCAAAGTCCCTCTGTGAGGCCATTTGTGGTGGGAATTTGGGCAAGATCTTGTCCCTATCTCTATTTTGAGCCCCAAACCCTCTCCCCGGAGCTGTTTGTGGAGAGGTTTTGGCCACGGGTCATCCCCGTTTCCATTTTCAGCCCCAAATTCTTCCCCGATACCCTCCAGGGAGGGGTTTTGACCATGGCTCTTCCCTGTTCCCAGCCCCCCGATGATGGGATTCAGCCCCAAACTCTCTCCCTGAAGCTGTTTGCAGAGGGAATTTGTCCATGACTCAGCCCCGTCTCCATTTTCAGCTCCAAAACTTCTCCCTCAGTCTGGTTTTGGAGGGATTTTGGCCCTGGCTTGTCCTCATCTCTGTTTCAGAGCCCCTGGGGATGGGATTTTAGCCCCAAACCCTCTCCCTGAGGGTGTTTGTGGAGAGGTTTTGGCCGTGGCTTGTCCCTATCTCCTATTTCCAGCCTCAAATTCTTCACAGAGAATCATCCAGGGTGGGAATTGGGCCCTGGCTCGTCCCCATCTCCAGCCCCTCGTGGTGGGGCTCAGCCCCAAACCCTCTCCCCCAGGCCTTTCCACATGGTGGCAGAGGAGGATTTGGGGGATGGGGGAGGGATTTGGGGCAGGAGGAGGAATTTGGGACAGGGCTGTCCCATCCCATCACCCACCCTCATCTCTCCCCCTCTGGCAGGAGAAGCTGCAGCGCTGCCTGGAGCCGCTGGAGCGGAAGCTGGAAGCAGTGGCCGGCTGTCGTGCGCGGGAGGAGAAGAAACCGAGTGAGCTGAAGGCAGGTTAACGACGCCGGGGGATGCCGGGGAGATCCCGGCAACTTCCAGCGCTTACCGGTACCTTATCCCATCCCATCCCGGCAGAGGAAAGTGGCTTTGCGACGGGAACGCATCGCCCGGGAGTTTGAGGAGCTTCACCAGCTGCTGGAGGAGGAGGAGCGGCTGGGGCTGCCGCGGGGGGGGGGGGGGGGGGGGGGACCCGGCAGCGGCTCCAGGCCAACCTGGCTCGGCTCGGGGAGCAGCGCCGGGTCCTGGCCGCCCTCGTGGCCGAGCTGGAGGAGAAATGTCTGCAGTCGGGCGCCGAGATGCTCAAGGTAGGGCGGGATTGGGATCAGGAATGGGATTGGGATCAGCACTGGGTGGATCAGCACCGGGGATGGGATCATCAGCAGTGATGGGATGGCCCAGACTGGGCTTGTAGCTGGGGATGGGATCACTGGGGATGGGATTGGTTTGGGGGATGGGATCCTCAGGGATGGGATCAACCCCAGGAATGGGATTGGTTTTGGGGACTGGATCGGTTTTGGAGGCAGGTTAGCCCCTGGGAATGGGATCAGTTTCGGGGATGGGATCACCCCTGGGGACAGAATTGGTTTTGGGGGCAGGATCCCAGAGGATGGGATTGGTTTCGGGGATGGAATTGCCAGCAACGGGATCGGGTTTGGGGACAGGATCCCTAGGGATGTGATCGGGTTTGGGGACAGGAGTCCAGGGCATGGGATTGGTTTTGGGGATGGAATTGCCAGGAATGGGATCGATTTTGGGGGCAGGACTGACTCCAGGGATGGGATCACTGGGGATGGCATCACAGGGGAGGGAATCGGTGTTGGGGGCGGGATTGCCACCAGGAGCAGGAACACTGGGAATGGAGTCAGCACCGGGATTGGGTTCGTGGCCAGAGACAGGATTCCCGGGGCTGGGATCCCTGTGGTTGGGACCGATCCCACCCTAGAGATCGACTTGGGGGGATCTAGCACACCTAACCCCCACTTTTTTCCCCACTTTCACCCCCATTTCAGGACATCAAGGACACCCTGGCCAGGTAAGAACCGTGCAGGCGATCCGTGCCGCTCTCCGGGCTCTGTTTTGGGGC